AAGGGTCTAAAAAAAAAAAAAAGAGAGAGAGGGAGAGAGTTTACTTATTTTAAATTAATTTCGAAAGTTTCTAGGAGTTGCTAATTGGTAAGATCCTATTTTAAGCTCTCCATAAAAGAATTTAAGTCTCTGTTCAATATTCTCAAGAGAGAGGTAAACCCTAATTTTCCTCAACAATTACTTGACAAAAGAGAGGTAATCTCACAAAAAGTAGAAGAAGCTATTACTAATCGATATATTATATAGTCTGATTAGTTGTCAGCGGTGCTATAACAGTCCTTTGACAAAAGATTATTAATATAGATTTATATATCCTTAAATAGGGTCTTCATGACTCTCTGAGTGTGGAAGGAGCGACTGTTGGCGCTTCTGCCCTGATTTTACAAGAACTCTGAAAAATTGGCTTTAAAAACAAAAGAGGGGGAACAGTACCTCCTCAGAAGGAGTCCCTCTGAAATACTCTCCATCATGCCTTGTTCACTTTTATCTCTCTAAAGCTGAAAGCTCATGGCAAATCTGCTGCTGACTGCCTCTGGCACCACCAAGACCAAGAAAACTTTGCCACAGATATGGGGAAGGACCCTCTTACCCTTAAAGGGAATGGCCCAGACCCAGTTCCCTTATGGGGCCGAGGACTGATATGCCTGTCCAATACCACAGAAGCCACAGCTAACTGGCTACCAAAAAGATTAATGAAAAAAATAGATACCCCCACAAAGCCAGGCCCAACCATAAATACGATGAATAACAATTTACATCCAGGGAAGAGAAATCTCCCTGAGAATCCTCTTCTTTTTCCTTTCCAGGTAAAAATGAATCACCCGTGATGTCTGCAGTTAGAAGTTCTAATCCAGATGCTGGCCTCCGAATTTATACTACTCAGACCTTTGAAGGGCCACTGAGAAGAACATCAAACAGCTAGAGATTGACATCCCTAATCTGAAGAAATCCCTCGTTTCGTCGTCTGAAGAGACCTCCTAAAATGGCAAAGATCCTTATTGGACTTGATTTACTCTAGTACAATAGAAAAGGCTGTATACAGCTCTTGACTGTGTACAACCCTCAAAGAAGAAGGTTGCCTTTACATAGACAAGACAAGGAGGGTTAAAGAGAGCGTGAAATAGATAGTGAAGCCTAAGAAAAATCAGAGAGAGAAAGAGACAGATGAATGCTGGTACAAGAGTTGATTTGCAGCCTCTCCAAGGTTGTCAACCCTATTTCCTTCCATCTTGGGACCATTATTTGGGTTCTTTTTGCTTTTTTCTGCTGGTCCCCGGCTCTCAAATAGGCGGACTAATTCTGTGATACAACAGATAAATAATTTGGTAGCAAAACCTACTCAGATACATTATCATATGTTAGCTATGGAGGACCATGAGACTCAAGATGAGGTTGTTACTTTATACAGGGTGTTTCCAAAACCCATCTCCACCCAACCTAAAAGGGGGGACTTCTGCCCCTAGACCAAGCAGAGAGGGGCCACCCAGAACCCCCTCTGACTGGCAATCTGAATTCTTGCTTAGGCTTCGAGGCTAAGCACTGCAAGGGAATATCAATAAAAGATAAAAATATCTATCTGGGTTCCCTGAGGGACAAGCCTGACTGCATAGGGGTTGATGTCAAAAGTATCCCCTCTCCAGGAAAAAGACATCGGAACGGGTATGGCCCTCATGCCTCACTGGACAATGACAGGGGGACTGGAGCCATTACAAGGTCTCCTTCAAATACTGGAGGTCAGGCCTCTATCCCCGCCTTCGCAAGTTTAGAATTGCCACAGCCCTTCTATACTTAGAGAAGGGAGAAGATGTCAGGGGCAGCCCTGCTTACACACTGTAGGCCTAAAATCAGCCATAGGCCTAAAATCATCAATAGACCTGTCATACATGTATACTAACACCAAGTCATGGGTCTCAGTGGAAAAACATCGAAACAGATGGCTATAAGCTAATGTCAACAGGCAGCTTTTGTGGAAATTTATAAGCCTGAGTAGTCATAGACCTTGTAAATAGGTAGCCTTGACAAGCGAGTCATAGGCAGAGTCATAGTGACTTGTCCCCTGAACCTTCACCCAGCCGATACCCGGTTCTGAAGATATCTGTATTCCCCCTGAACACCCACACTCCAGTGTCATTCCCTTCCCCACATCTTGCCTTTCTGTGTTTATACCCCTGTGTGAATTAATTATGATTTGAGAAAAAAAAAAGAACATTCTATGTTAGTCACAGACATGGCTATGTTGAGTCAAGAATTATGACCAGCTGGGCTCTCCTTTAGGTCATGTTGTAATGGAAACAAGTTGACAGTAAACATAGAATCTATAAAAAAAAAAGAAAGAAAAGAAAAAAAAAGTTGTTGCCTGCCTCTTCCCTGCTCTTTTGATCTTTTGATCTCTTGCTTTTGTTTTTCTTGCCCTCTTAGGTTCATTAATTCCCCACTCTCTCCCATTCCCTTCCCCCCTCTTTCTCCACATGCTCATGCCAGGCCTCTACTTCTCTACTCTCTGCCTCTCTCTGCCTTTCCTTCCCTCTACTGCCCTCTCAGCTCGCCTCCCCATGTCCTGAATAAACTATATTCTATACTAAAAAAAAACAAACAAAAAACAACAACAACAATAAAAAAACGTTGTTTCTGGGAGATGCTCCTAAACATGGGGGCAAGACAGAGATCTCTGCCTTACAAATAGAGCTGTTTCTTCACAGTGTCTCCAATATTACACAGCCTACCGATGGTGAGCAACCTGGCCCGAGGCACATTAAGTTAAGCAATAAAACCCAGGAACTTCTGTTTGGCAGACGCTGCTCCTTCCAGAGTAATCACTCATCCTCTGGAATCCCTGGCCTGACTCCAACTCTTCTACACATCGGCTCTTATCCACAGTAATAACTCTCCAGCTCGTCATCTCCCAGCAGCCCCCTCTTCAGCACCAGGGGATCATTTTCATGTGTCTAGCATGGACCTCTACAGATCTCTCCCTGGAAGCATCTGTGCTTTAAGAACTTAGGCCCCAGTGACTTAGTAGCTGTTTGGATAGATGCGTGTAAACGGAAGGAAAAACAATGCTTCTAGAATCCCATCTGTAAATAACCACCATTCCTGGGGCCTCTTGTTGCGTTCTGTGGGATTTCTCAGACTGGGAGCTCAGGCCAAGCATTGCCGTTCTTGTTCTCTGCCCACCTTGCTTCGTGTGGTGCTTGCTGTGGTGGAAAGAAAGCTGACAACCTAATACCAAAGCTCTAAGACCCACAGCTGGTGGACTGCCTGGCTTCCATGGGTGCTTTCTCAGAAGTGCATATAGAACTGGTGAGATGACTCCATGGGTAGAAGTGCTTCCTTCTCATCCCCGTGTGATGACCTAAACTTGCCCCTCTGATCCCACCATGAAAAGAGAGAGCTGACAACCAAGAGCTGTCTCTTGACCTCCACATGTGCTCTGTTGCACACACGGACACATTCACATGCATGTACACCAGCACATAATAATAAAGTAATTTTTTTAATGTAATGCAAAATAGCACTGTGCTCCTGTAAGTTTGCTCTGGCACACAGTGTGGGAATCCCCAGCGTCATTAACTTCCATCTACCTAGATCTTTCCAAAGTGTCGGAGTTAATGCAAGGTCATAGATAGACACTGCCTGGGCCTCATACGTCTTATAGGTGAGTAATGAGACCAATATTAATAAGATTATCTTACTAATAAATACATCTTCATCTTCTGTTCTTCAAACCTGAGAATGTATGGAAGGAAGGTTGAACAGTGGCTTTGTATGCCTTATGCCAAACTTGTTGTCAGGTTACAGGGCTCACAGAGCTTACACTGTACTGGAGTGGCCACTGGCCTCTGGTTCTCTGTTCCAGGCAGACCTTGCCTCTGGAGTCCAGGCTGTGACCCGAGTGTGCAGCATAGGACAAGGGTTCCCTCTAGTGGCAGCTGTAGTTATTACCTTAATCAACTGTAGGGAGAGAGCTACAAATATTGGTCATTTTTGTGGATTTTTGTGGAACAATGTCTACCCTTAGGCCTTTATGAAAATCTCTTCATTGTTGATCTCTAAAGTTTCTAGGATATAAATTTGAGGTCACTTGGTTCTTATTATGCCACCTTTACAATATATACATGCACATGTACCTACCTACTTACACTTCCAGCCCCACCCCTGTTTATGGCCCCCCCCACACACTCTTCTGCCAGCAGGGGTCCATGAGAGTGACTGGGAAGTGTGTGGTGGAGGGATCCTGGAGGTGTGAGGTGGAGGGATCCTGGAGGTATGAGGTGGAGGGATCCTGGAGGTATGAAGTGGAGGGATCTTGGAGATGTGAAGTGGAGGAATCCTGGAGGTGTGAAGTGGTAGGATCCTGGAGGGGTGAAGTGGTGGGATCCTGGAGGTGTGAAGTGGTAGGATCCTAGAGGTGTGAAGTGGAGGCATCCTGGAGGTGTGAAGCAAAGGAATATCATAGAGCAGGCCTCACTATGAGAGCCCCATGCCAAAAGGGACAGTGGGCTATACCTTGCTCTAAGGGAAATTCCTCATTCCAGGGGGCATCATGGTCATTACAGTCATAGCTGAACCCACACAGCCCTTTTTCTTATGAGGCAGAATAAGAAAGGCCTGACTTCCCGACTGTGTCTTTCAGAAGCTGCTCACCCAGCTTTTTTCCTATAAGAAGACAAACTACAACCCTCCTTCACAGCCTGGGGGAAAAAAACAGCTTTTAAGGAAAACATAGGCTTTGTGTCCTTGCCAGAAAATCAGCAATGATTAAACACAAGAACCAGAGGTCAGGTCCGATTCGGTGCATCACCTCGTTTTCAATGCGGTCGCAGGATCTTGCTGCTTCTGCTCGCTGATCCAGCAAAGAGCCGGGCCACATGGAACACACTAAGGATGCCCTAGAGTGCTCCACATCAGGCAGGGCCAGTGGGCTGTGACCTTCTACTGACTAGATCTTGCAACTAACTCAAAGACATCTACAGAGAAGAAGGTGAGGAATGGGTGACACCATTTCTTTCCACCACACTCTGCAGAGTTCTTCATGTGCACGCGAAGGTCACATGTCAATGTTGGGCGTCTTCCTCGTTTTTTTTCCACCCTGTCTTTGGATGTTCTTATACTGAATCTGAAATACAACAATTCAGCTAGACCAGCTGGAAGCTCCGGGGCCTGCCTCCTGTCCTGCCTCCCCAGCATGTACCATCATGCTTATCCTTTTAAAACCTGGATTTGGAGGAGTCACATCCTTATGTTGTTACAGCAAGCATTTTACCTACTGACATCTCCCTAACCTCCAAGAGATGGCTTCGATGTATTATGTATAAGGGCATGGCCAATATGTCTCTGAACAAATTAGGCAGACTTTCTTTAGAGCCCAGGCCACTGTGTTGAATGGACCTCTGTAAAATGGACTTGATTTATATGTATATATGTGTATGCATACATATATATCATATACATATATGTATATACACACACATATATACATATACATATATATATATATTATAATCACACACACATTTGACTTGAGAAAGCTGAGAGAAACAAATAATGAATGTAAAAGTTGCTCTGCACTGAGCCTGGTAGAGAACATGGTATCTACCACTTGTTAATGGTAATTATTAAGATGTTGGTACTGAGGGGGCAGGGTCACGGCTTCAGCTAATTCTGACTTGTGCTTGAAGCAGATGGGCTCTTCCAGCCTTCAGTCTGACTTTCTGTATTGGGTGTTTTTATGTTTGTTTTGACAAAAGCAGCATAAGGAAAGGAAGGTTTATTTTGGCTCGTAGTTTTGAGGGTGGCATTCACTGTGATGGGGAAGTCACGCTGGATGTGAGGCAGCTGGTCACATTGCAGTCACAGTCAGGAAGCAGTGAGTGATGAACCCTGATCCTCAGTTCACTTTCTCCTTTGTATTCAGTCCAGGTCTCTGGCCAGTGGAATGCTCTCCCCACCTCACCCCAATCTAGAAAATCCTTGACCAGAAGTTTGTCTCCTAGATAAATTTATATCACTGATCTAAATTTGACAATATTGACTGTCACACTCTCATTCCCACTTTAAGGCTCTATCTGCTTGCTTGATGCATCTTAATTGGTCAGCGACACAAGTGTACATCTGTATTGTTGCTCTGTCCCTCCACCTCTCTTGCCTTAATCAGCCAGGATCGTTCCTGCATTACACAAGTCTCTGCTCAGAATGAGTTGCTAACATAAATATGTGTTAAAGATTCTCAGTAACATTGCACTTAGGGTGGGTTTCCTAAGACTACTCAGGGGTTCTTGCTCTAATATGGTTCTTAAGGAGAGAGAGTTGTAATCAAGCTACCCTCGAGACCCTAAATCCAGCCTTGATTTATTTCTTCTTTGCCAGTGCATTGACTCAAACTTCAAAGCAAATCGAACAACCCCATCATCAAGGTAACCTCAGAATCCCCAAATTTATCCCTGACTAAATTACTGCTGAAAATTTTTTGGAATGTCTTTGGGATCATACTTTTCCATCTGTGAAATGCACATATAATAATTCCCCACTTGGTCTCTTAGCCTTACAAATGAACACACAAAGCCAGCACATAGAAAAGAACAGAGGCCAGATCTGTGTGGACTGGAGACAGGAGCTGGCTGAGTGCCTGTCTAATATTATCATTAGTCCTGATTCAAACCACACTTAGTTTAGAACCGTAACAATCCTGGTTATAAATTCAAATTAGAATCAACTTGGAATTTAGAATGAAGTCAGTTCTTTAGGCCTACCTGGCAAAGTTCTGCCCCAATGTATATGGAGCAACAGCTGAGAGTCAGATGCTTGTTTTGTTTGGTTGGTTTGTTTTGTGATGTGCAGGACTGGACTCTGCACACTGGACAGTCACAGTCAGGAAGCAGTGAGAGATGAACCCTGGTCCTCAGTTCACTTTCTCTTTTGTATTTAGTCCACATCTCCAGCCAAGAGAATTGTGCCTCCTACAATTAGGGTGTCTCTCCCTCCTTGCAACCTGAATGACAGGAAAGTGTACTGGCTGGTCTTTGTTGTCAACTTGACTACAGTTGAAGTTAATTAAAACCCAAAAATGGAGGGCATACCTACCTATAAGGGACTTTGCTTCATTTGAAGTAGGAAGATCTACTTCTAGTTTGTGAGATGGGGAGACACACCTTTAATATAGATCTTGAAATGGGAAGACATATCTTTAATCCAAATCTTGAGACTGAAAGACACACCCCTTTAAATCCAACTTTTGAGGTGGACGGACCACCTCTAGTCTGGGCCACGCCTTCTGCTGGCAGCCTATAACGGGACATGAGAGAAGGAAGCTTTTCTTCTCTGCCTGCTTGCCCTCTCCTTGCTAGCAGTCCATTCCTTCACTGGCATTAGAGCCTACTTCTTAGGGATTCCAGTGCATACTGAAGACCAGCTGAGACACCCAGCCTCTTGAACTGAGCAACTCCGGGATTCTTGTACTTTCCACTGATATCTGGCCATTGTTGGATTAGCTAGACCACAGCCTGCAAATCCATGCTGATAAATCTCCTTTCTATATATTGAGATTTATTCTATAAGCCCTAGAGACCCCTGACTAATATAGAAAGTAATAGCCACCCAGGCTATCTCCAGCCTCTTCGTATTTTTCCGTTTAAGACAGGCTTAGAGTAAGTGGCCCGTGCTGGGCCTGAGCCCATCTGTAGTCTTGGAAGCCTTTATCTTTCCACTCTATCACTGGAATTACTGGCCATTACCCACTGCTCGCAGCATCCGCATGTTTGTCAAAGACCATAGGTGACTGTAGTGTGTGGGTGACACTGAAAGCCCCTCTCACAGAACAGCACTGGTGTCGCAAAGCAAGGGAGAAAAGTGCCTCCATATTTGGTGGGTTTCAGTTGTGACTGTGAGCTGAGGCCAGCTTTGTATTCTGGAAGTACTCGGCAGCTGTCGTCAGTGAGTTTCAGTACATGACTAAGGTTTAGAAGGAAAGAACTCCTCAAAAGATGCTAAGAATCTCTGACTGAGGGCTGTAGGTCCCCCACCTCCCCTTTGGAAACACTGGTCAGTCAGCTTATGTCTTCCTCAGTTTCCCTGTCTGCTGAATGAACAGGCTGGATTAGATACACTGAGGAGTTAGTCTGTGCTTCTGTGTTTTCCTGACTGGGGTTCAAGAACCTGCAGTTACACTCCTCATCTTCCCTGTGTGCTAATTTTTGGACGTTGCCCTGAAAATCTAAGCCATAATTTCCAGCTCTGCTTCTCTGCTGGAGGTAGATGCCGGTCTGCGATTGGCACAGTGGGGCTCCATCCTGAACATGCCCTCCTTATGTGATTTGTTTAAAAGCCACCTACTTTAGATACAGTATCAACCTCCAAGTGTTCCCTGGTTCTCTGGTGAGCACATGGCCTGGTCTTTGCTGGTATCTGCACAAGAAGTGGCGGAATGTGGGTGTTCACCCAGTGTGAGTACACACGCATCTTCCCATGAACCTGTGGGGCCCGGCCAGCAGTTGCCCAGGTGTTATGCTCTTTGTCCTCCTTCCTTATCAAACTCCAGTTGTCTTCTGAGTCTTGTTTCCCTGAGTGGAGCTTAAGAAAGTTCATCAAACAACAAAGTGTGTTTGTTCTTTGCATCCCTGTGTTGCAGGCTCTGTACTGGGAATGTCATACTTGCTCTCTCCAGGCCCCCAGCCTGCCCAAATCTCTTCCAGGAGGAGATTGTTACAGACAAAGCCTCACACATTGTCCCACCCAGTCCATAAACTTTCTTTAAAAAAAAAAAAAGCACTACATCTGCCTTACTCTTAAGATAAATATGCTCCAATGCACCAATGCACGCCCAGTGCCATGAGGGACAGGAAGCCTGGTGGGCAGAGGGCAGGACAAGGCTGACTTGCAAGAGGGGATGGGATGTGGGGTGTGGCTGGAAAAGAGTCATATTTCCTATAATCCTCTACTGTAGGCAGGGACTCCCAGATCTGACAGAGAACCTGATGTGAGTCCTGATCCCTCACTTGCTCGCCCAGTTCTTCAGAAGGTGGTGTCTCAGCACCAGTAAGAAACGAGGGGGAGGGGCATCGCTAAATCAGAAGCAGAAAGGGCTTCAAACACAGCCCTTTTGCTCAGCCTGACTGCAGGCTGGCAAACCCACATGCCTATATTTCAGACCTTGAAAGAGACTCCAGGGACCCCTTGTTGTGGTTTAGGAAAAAAATATTCCCTGAGGACTTGTGACACTGCTTACTTTCATGTTCTCTACTCTGTCAGCTCCCAAAGAAGCAGTGTGAGCCAATGAACAAGGACGTGTGCCAGCAGAAGCTACTCTAGGCCCTTATCTGTTCAAATCAGATGTCCGGTGTGTGGCACCATGCCTGTGGCTACAATTTACAAAGGAGTAGTTCCTAGGAAGCCTAATGTTTTATTTCTCTTTTTACTTTTGTGTGTGTGTGTGTGTGTGTGTGTGTGTGTGTATACTTACTCAGGCATATGCATGGGTGGAGGTCCAAAGACAACTTTTTTGGGGAAATTGGGTCTTTCCTCCAGCATCTTGGTCCCAGGGATTTCTTGCAAGTCAGATCAGGTTTGGTTTGTGAGCCAGTGCTTTTACTCACAGAGGCACCTTACCAGTCCTCACTAATGCTCTTAGTAATAATGGCCTCCTCTCTGTCTTCTGCAAGCAGGTCCCAAAGATTATGCTCTATACTACGATACTATGTGTTGTGGTGATGCTCTGTGCTGTGGTGGTGATGCTCTGTGCTGTGGTGACGCTCTGCTCTGTGCTGTGGTGACGCTCTGCTCTGTGCTGTGGTGATGCTCTGTGCTGTGGTGATGATGCTCTGTGCTGTGGTGA